ACTGCACACAGAAGTGATGATTTTCTAAAGTGGGTTCCGTGGACGTACCTCTGACTACAAAAGGATTAAAACCTGGACTTACACGATGAAGCCAGAGAAGGTTGGGTACAAAACTATCATAAATATATTTGTAGAATTATGGTCTACTTCGATATTAGTACTGCTCTAATAATAAACCTAATCCTAAAATTGTAGGTTTGTCATGATATAACTGTCTAATCTATAAGATCTTTTGTGGAAGTCACATCATCGTCTACACCAACTAATCGCATCATAACGATCACCAATATATGATGGAGAACAAACTTAGTCTAGAGATAGAACAATATATTTAATATGAATGAAAGATACATGTAAACACTCAAGAATGGCTAGCCTGCATGGCCGAGCCATGCCATCGAATCAATTCGAATTCATTGTCCCCGCCTTCTCTATCGTTAGGTTCATCTCTGCGTTGAATGTTGAATGTCCGTTTTCCCAGTTGTCTCGTGTTCAGCTTTAGGGATTGCGTGGTTAGTGCCCGTCAGTAACACCGTTTAATTTTTGGTATTGCTCTAAATACGGGGAAAGCATTCAATATTCGGTGAATAGTTTACTATACGTAATCTTTATTAAATTATCTAGTCGGTAAACAAAATCTTAAATTACGGTCGCAATTTACCTGGCTGTTGTTCTGCAAAGAAGGCACTTGTATGGATCAATATTCAGAATTTCTGGTCTACCTGTATCTGCAATATCTGAATACGCGAAAAACTAACTATGTGTCTGAGCAACTTGCAGTTATCGAGCATCGTATACAAGTTAGTTTTGAAAACAAGAACAGCGGCCTTATACGAACTCAGACCTCTGCCCTCCTGAATGCTAGACAACCAATTTAACCAATGTTTGTGCGAACAGGCAATCCCATGCTCCGCTGTGATTTCGCGAAGATCTAAATAAAGACCTATTCACTACTAGCCTGGTTTCTTTTATCAATAGAACGAGGGTTACGTACAAGCACGAAAGATCAATGAAATGATGCTCCGAATAGAAACATTTATGATGATCAGAATTATTCGAAATAGTGTGCTAACTCGGAATTTCCAAAATAGTTTAGTCTAAAGCAACTAGAACTAGATGAAAACCAACGAACGTGTTATGTTTGGAATTCGAAAATCAGCGAGCAATCAAGTACAAATGAACCATTAGTTTGTACAAGTTCCACAGTAATCCGTAAGAATATGTCGTTTGTGAGGTCAGTTGTTATTAAACCTGGTAAAAATAGGGTATGTTACGGGAAAAAATTCGTATTAACCTGTTATACAGCTATTAACTTTCATTAGTACTTCGATGGTGTGTGAAAAATTTAGCTGCTATTCTGATGGATACATTACATGTTAAACAGAAACTGCTTCTATAGCTTTGGATAACCGACAGTCGTGCTGTCAGAAGCACGCGAACTCTGTTTCTAGTGTCAAGGTAACTGGTTGGCCAGTAATCATCTGTGTATGTGTTACTTGTATGTTTGTATTGCACTGTATGCGTTGTTGTTACCAGTTCGCTTGTATTCCGCCCAACAGTGCCTTTTGCAGCTTAGCAAACGTAGAGTGCGGTTCTTGATGACCGAAGGTTGCTTGTAGATTTTGGACACCGTTTGAGGAACAAACTGTCTTGTGCGGTAAGAAATTCCAATGAGCATCCATATCAAGTTGAGGGTGGATTTCTCTATCCACCTGTCATATACTGTCCTGTAAAGCTGACAGATTCAACCGTTTGAAATTTCTGTTGTTGGTAGGATGTCTTAGCTCAGTTGTGCTGAAAAAATTAAATGCTCTGATGGTGTGGTCGCTTTTCCCTGAGGGAGCCAGGGCTGAGAGGTTATCAATTAGGAATTCTTCGTTTGTAAATACCCAGTTCAAGCGCGACAACGTTTGACTGTTTCTCCAACGAGATGCCGACTTCACATTTTCGAATAATCCCAGATCCTCAATGATGTTGAAGAACCGAGGTTCAGTTGAGTTTTCACCTCTAGTATACGTATGTTCCGCGAAATTGACTCTAGGGAGATTGAGTTCCCCTAGAATCAGGATATGACTGAGTTCGAGATGAGTGAAGTGGGATAGTCCTCCAAGCATACGATTGTTCTACTCAATGTCAGAAGTGGGCTTCCTGTAGACGCTCCAACTGGATAGCTCGAGTTGGTACAAAATCTTTTTGAGTATCATATGGATTCATTAAGATTGTTGAACTCTTAGATGTGAACATGGTGTACGTCCATGCAAGATTTTCTCTCATTGCGAAACAAAGACATCCCAGGTAATACCAGCTCCTGGTCCGTAAACTGATAAGACATCCACGTTTCAGATATTACTTTCAGATGAGCATCATTAGCATTACTGAGTTTGCGCAGCTCGTCCACTTTATTTGGTAGATTCGCGGCGTTCATGTAAAAGCAATTTATGCTTTCACTTTGAAACGCGTGAGGTTCCCTGTCCTGAGCCTTGTGTAAATGGAAAGGTAGCTTACCTACACAAGGTTTTTCGAGTTGATTGTCCCAGTCCTTCCCAAGTGTTTTTATGATCTAGAAAGTCCATAAGTGGAATAGTCAGCTCCAACTTGATTTTGTGCTTGATCCTGGCATCATGTGGGTTATCAGGTGTATATGGATTCTAGTTGACAACGGTGGTCTGTCGGCACGAAATGCTTCGAGAGTTGCAGCCGTCATATGGGATGGGAAAATTATCTTCATCAACCGGGGTCCTTCGTGGCTAGCCTCACCACTTGTTGAGTCAATATGTTTTTGAGATTCATAGATGTTTGATGAATTTCCATTTCCGAATATCAGGGTTTGTGCGATTTGGTCCTTGTTTTTCGGTGCTTTTCGCACAATGATATTTCTTCCGCGGAAAAATTTGCGAGATTCCTTAAGGCTGTTCCGGATGAGATTGTGCTCAGAATACATACATTATTCTTACATTTCCATCTTATTTCAGTGAATGATTGGTAGGATATCCTCTATTTCGGTAACGTTATTGAGTGATACACGAAGTAGTTTTTGGTGATTTTGATGCTTAGAGTCATTTCCCGAGTGAGTTGTATGACCATCAAAGGCTCTATTTTGGGTATTTTGACCTTCTTGTTTGACGTTTCTCAGAACATCCTGTCATTTTTGTCCTGCAAACTGAAGAGAAGGTTAAGGCTGTCTTTAAGATTCATGATTAAAAAAGAATTATAGCGAACCGTGATTGTTTTCCCAAATTTTCGGGTACGTTCAGGTTGAGGGCCTTATTGTTTGGTGATCGAAGCGCGTTTCATATTCCCGTACTCTTTGCTGAGCGGTTGAACGTTCTTGGGGGTAGATTGTACGGCGAAATCACCAATTGATCTCAATACAATACTTGGGATGTTCAGCTTCTTAGACGTGACTGCCGTTCCTATCAAACTTTGTTGACGGGGTTTTAATCGCCAACAGAGTGTTGAAGAACCACCGTTACATTCAGCGTTCCTGGTCTGAGAGATCCAAACTTACTGAGAGAGTCTAGTACCGTAGATTTTATGATGGAGCTGAGCTTCAGCATGTCCTCACTAGTGTTGTTACATGCTCCGTAGCGTTGTCAAGGTGACACTTCTTGTCTTTACTGAGTATATCTACTTGTTTGCTCGTTTTAGGACTGTCTTTTTTCAGGTTTGCTGACAACTTTTTTCCGCAAATCTGTCAAGAGAATGATGGTGAGGATGATACAGGTATTCAGTGTTTGACAAGGCTTCTACCAGTAACACCTTCTAATATACTTTGTTCCCACCGAGCGAAATAAAAAGACAGAGTCGAGGAGATCGGAAGAGTGTATTTGGCGATAACCAATATATCGGGAATCTCTGATCTAATCTGGCTAGTGATTGCGGTTGATGTTGAGCACAGCGTTACAACACGTGATCTGGTGCGGATGCATGACCGAGCGCCTTAAGCTAGATGAGTCCACTAAAACATATGGTCAGCATCCAATGTCGAAAACCTACAAAGCTATATAGTTTGGGGATTTATTTACCGCTACAATGGTGTTGATCAGCAAAACCTCAGCATCACCCAGACAACCCAAAAAGGGGAAATAATGGGGAAAAAAGGGGAAATAAAGGGGTAAATGCTATGGTGGCGAAAGGGGAAATAAAGGAGAAAACGCGCCAGAATGTCGCCTTTTTCGCCTGTCCGGGGGAAATAATGCGGAATTTCCCCTTTTTCGCCTTTTTGTCGACAAATTACCCACTTATCGCCTAAATATCCCCCGAATTGTCGCTTTTTCGCCTAAATATCCCCCGAATTGTCGCTTTTTCGCCTAAATATCCGCCGAATTGTCGCTTTTTCGCCTAAATATCCGCCGAATTGTCGCTTTTTCGCCTAAATATCCGCCGAATTGTCGCTTTTTCGCCTAAATATCCGCCGAATTGTCGCTTTTTTGCCTAAATGTCGGCCGAATTTTCGCCTAAAAATCCGCTGAATAGTCACGTTTTCGTGTGCCACATACCCACCTACGATCCGACTTACTGAGTCTGTTGTAGGCAATTACTGTGCACGATCCGTGGAACCAACCTGATCAATTGTCACACTGCATGTCAGACGTAACAGCAAAACGGCATCCGGATCGCTTGCATGTATTCTTCATGATTACGTTGATGTAAATTTTTTTACTGATCCTAGCAGAAGTCTACGACCGTAAAACAGGAAAACAATTGACTAAAAGCAGATGAAATGGATAAAAATGGGTGGCGAAAAAGATTGGGATAAACTAAAACTAGTCTTGACGTCAAAAACTGAAAAATCGAGTAGTAAGCTGAGGCAATTGCCTGTGGTTTTAAAACCACAGTTAACTATTGACTTGGATAAAACCCAAAAAGAACAGTAATCTACAAACGTACAGCTCAAGACAGATTTTCTGAACCAAAAATGGTACTTTTGTTGCGTAATGACACAGCAAAAGTTTGAAAAATGCAAATCACTTTAGGACTAAACGTCCTGTTCGTAAAGCGCGCATATGAGTCTAGATACTAAAGTGAGGTTATTTTAAACTGGTCGTGACTTTCGACTTTTATTTTTCTCAGCTTTAATGTTTCTTAGTAATAGTGGTTACAATTATCATCAGAACCTAGATGTACTACTTTCTTAAAAGTCAAAATTTCTTACTGGGGAATTGGTTTTCTAGAAAAGTTGATGTATTTTCGGTTGACTAAACGTTCTCCTTAAATTAGCGTGTTCGAATTCGAACAATTAGATAGAAACAAGTAAATTAATTAGAAAAAGTCACGTCGCTGTATTTTGTCATGGAAAATTAGTTTTTCAAACGTAATTCTCATCAAGGCAGTCTATTATATATATGTCATCTTAAATTAAGGAGAATTTTCAAGTTCGTACTTGTGGGGGACATGTAAGCTATCATTGAGTTTACAATTCTATTAGTACTCACATCGTCCCATTTATTACACGAACGTCACTTGTAGCCCGTAACCTAGTCACATGTAATTTTCAACTTGTTCATCTGCCGAACAGATATTACTAACGTAGAGCCTGCCACAGGTGTGCGTTGGCACAGGCTACCATGCCACTCTAACACGAAGTGATAAAACACCCAATTAATGTGGCAGTAATGATAAAAAATGAGTTAGATGTTAGGTATGTGGTTTGGAAAGACTGGGAGACTATGTATGAATGTATCCTGGGATTTAAGATAGAGGGGAAAATAGAGTAAATGCACCTGCGTCAATAAAATCCATACCACTCAGTCTCCAGACAGGTAGTCTACACTTTTTAACATGGCTCAGGTCATTCGTCGATGACTTTATTCACTAGTGTCGTACTGGTGTGGCCTCTCCTAGCTTTCTTCTAATCTACTCTTGAAATAGCTAGCACTACTCGCCAAGGTAGACAGTGCTTTGGCATACGTAACATACGTTCCAGCCACTTCAGTTGTTGAAGATTCACTACCTCACTGACTGATCTTCCACTTTTGTGTAACAACTTGTCGTTTTTTTGATGGAATCGGTGATTATCTGCAGAGAATCTCAAGCAAAATTACAATTCAAGAATTATTCTAAACCCCATGCTTTACTTACGAAAGCGTGCTGAACTTCAAAGTAAGACGATATCAAAGTGTAGGAAGCTAAAAATCTTCATTCTTAGGTGTCTCGGTAGGACTTAAAACTAGGAACTGACTTAAGCAATTTTTAAAATGTACCTGAAGCAGTTAAACCGACCATAAGTTTAAAAACAAGCTATTAAAATCACTAGACATAGTGCAGATAGTTGGTATTTAATTAGACTAAAATCTGTATAAAATTTCAGCGCTTATAAATTTCTCAGGGTAACTCAAGTTTTCTTGAAATTTTAAGTCAAAGGGGCATATGTACACATTCATCGATATATTTGCAACCCAATCTCCCACTCTTATTCTTGACCCTAGCTAGCTACATCCCCTCACCAAAATAGCACAAGATGTTATCGCAATGCAGCTTATTTCCTTCGAATTGAGTTTATTTATTAATTTAAATACATAAATATTGGTATTAGGAGGCACCAAACAGATATGCGCCACAAATCATTTGAATTGTGTGTGAGGGCTGGGATACTATCCGGGTGCCCAAACCGAAGCAGGTAGTTTTCTTAGGGGGACATATCCCGAGCCTTTGACCTGAAGGTCTAATCCCCAAGGTAGTGGAGCAACGTCAGAAGATGCAGTCCCATGGTAGCCGGTGATCGACAATGGGTTCATACGGCATTTGTTTCCTTAAGATCTTGTAGCCCATATGCACCATTGGTGTGGAATCAGGGTTTTCTAACCCCCAAGTGGATTGTCCGTATCCACCAACCCGGTGGGAGCAGGACATTCGCTTTTCGTTCTCTCAACCTCGAAAACAACAATAATCTCATATCATGTAAGAGTATTTCAAGAGGGAGAGTTGACTTTCCCCACTCTCAGCCGTACCGGGATATTTGGGGGTGTTTTTACATTGTCATCATAATTAATGAGTTTGTGGGCTATTCAAATTATGAAACGACTAAAATTGTAATTTGATGCTTGATCGACTCTCATATACTGTGGTTCGACAAACGTTTCTAGTTTCCCATCAATTGCATCCAAAGAAAGAAAACGAACATTGTCGCTCATTCTATCCAGTGACTGGAAACACTTAGATAGTTTAATAGTTATATGTTCAGTAATAATATTTTGATATAATAATGTATTCATCACTTAGTTATTTTTATAAAATACCATATAATAATTTTACGTTAGTTAAACTCTATGGGACACTTCAACAACCATGTTCAATAAACCCATCTCAAACTCGTTGGGAAAAACATTTGTATGGTTATAAGTGTGTATTGATGTATGTAACGGTGAGTTAGTTCATAATCAGTCAATCCACTTGATAAGCAATGTATTTGTTTGCAATTGATCCTTATTTAAACAAGTCTGTACCAAGTAAAAGTCCTTAATTAAATAATGATGCAACTAAAACGTTCAGGTTTGTGAAATTTTTACTGTAGTCACGTTATCTGAGAATGGGATAGTACACTTTTTTGTATGTCAAGGGCTCGAACTCTAAAGGGCATAGTACTTAATTTACTTACCCATCACCTTATATAAAGACAGACACGATCTACCATATTCTTATCAATTTAATCGCTTTCTTGACTAAAAGATCAATTGTCAGTAAAAGAAATATGATTAATAAACCAAATACTTTGTGGGATTCTATTTCAGTTTAAATTTATGTATTTTTTACAGATTATTTGGTAACAGTAAACTTCAACATGAACTGCAATTATTTCGGCAATACTAAGCATCTTTATTTCAGTTTTTTAACTGGTATACTTATGATTATGTCTATGAACCGTAATCTGTATTCACTGTTTGTGAATTTTTCTAGTCTACTAAAAAAATTATTAGTTGTTCGGCCTTTATTGTTGCGCGATGTCCATCACTCAACACCTTATACACCCAGATTTCAACTGTTTAATTCTGGTTCGGAGCTCAGTTGTATCTACGCCATCGTTGCTGCTGCCTTGACGTGTTGGTTGTGCTTGCCTATCGTAATGAACCAGTCGGGCTATACTGGCTGGAACAATCGTTCTCCAAGGTCCTACCATTCCAGGCAGATCGGTCGAGGAGCGTTGAGACTAAAAGCAGCAAACCCAAGGTCCGAGAGCGAAGTCGTACTACTGACCACGGAGGTGTGACGGCAGTTAGGTGTTTCTCCCAGACAACCAGCATGACAGCGATGCTGTCTTCTCACAAAGAAGGGCGGGTTAAAAAAGGTTTACTCTAAAAAATGCACATCTCTCCTTATCTCACGCATTTCCGTCTCCGGTGGTAAGGTCTCAACAAGTACGAGGCTAGCACGAAAATTACTCACAAAAGGGTCGCATGTGACCGGCTCTTCGATCAGTCAACAAATAAATTGTTAATTATATGATGAAAATATATAGATTAGTATTTTTTGCAATGATATAATAAATCTCCCTCTTCAATTCTTATTATTCCTCCTACCTTGACTTTCAATTCTAAACTTTTTCGTTCTATTTCTTCCTCAAGCGTCACCATGACTAACGGTTCTAGTGCACGAAATATTGTCCCAGGTTCACTGAAACCTCGCTCCAAAATACACATTGAAGCCTTCAACGTATGCAACGTATGTCAAATCGGCCAACAGTCCTCCTTGGCTAAGACCCTAGAATCTCGTACGATTGATGTATGCTATGACTCCGAAACACATATTCAGGATCCTGGTGTGGTCATTCACTTGACCTCACCTCGCCAAAACAGAGAGCCGACGAGATAAACCCTCCGTGTATCTGGCTATCCAATGGCGAATTCTCGTGGACTGGCGGCTGTAGGCATAGCACTAAGTATGAGGGCAGAACAAGCACTCTTAGAATAAATCCCTGTTAACAGTCGCCTGTGTGTTGTTCGGCTAAACGGCTCCGTAAGAACTCGGGAGGATAGAAATACACGTCGTTGTCTTTTCGTCGTTTCTGCCTACGCTCCCACTGACTGCAGCCCGGATGAAGTGAAATATCAATTTTACAGAAACCATTCTGAACTTCTTCAAAAAGCTACACACTCAGACATAGTACTCGTAGCAACTAACTTTAATGCCCAAGTAGTTAGCTTAAACCAAAAAGAAAGACAATTAGGTGGGTATTTCAGTATTCCGGCTCAGCGAACAGATAATGGTGACTGCCTGCTGCAACTGCGCTCAGACAATCGTTTATTTTCAACAAGCACCAATTTCAAACATAAAGAGAGATATTGTCTAACAGGGAAACCCTCTTCACCAAACCAACAATGAACCATATTGCCATCAGTCATCGTTGAAGAGGCTCGGGAGAAGATTACCGCTCGTTCTGGAATACATTTTTAGACTTTTATCATTCTCTAATAAGAGCACGTATTTACTTGCGCCTCATTGGACGCAGAAAAGCCACATTAAGAAGACCCATTCGAGTCGAACTCAGTGATGAGAAAGCCAAAGGTAAATTCCGTGAACAACTGAACTCACACTTGGGCAATTTCGAAAACGAGGCTGACTCAGATATTGCTTGGAAATATATACGAACATCTGTGGAAACAGTAGCGATAATCGTTGGTGATTTGAACCAAAATGTAACGGAAAACCATTGGATTTCTACTACATCCATTGCACTGATAGACTAATAAACCTATCCTATTAGGCTCTGAACACGATAATAAGCGAGAATAAATCAGATACAGGTTGACCAGAAGTCTACGAGACGATCATGAGCAGTGTTAGGCAACGAAAGCAAAAGGGAGGGAAAAGGCAGCGGCTGTAGGCAACAAAAGATAGGTTTTAAGACTAACAAAAACTGGAATTAAGAAGTCAAGTGTGAGTGAGACATCGGAAAAAGACAGCACTCTTACTTACCCTCAGTCCAGACGTTTCAAACGATGGACGGAACAATTTAAGGAGCAGTTCAACTGGCCTTCAGATATTCTACAGCTACCCACCATTTCTAAATAATCTAAGTGGAACATCGAAACAGCCCTCCGACTCTAGTTGAAGATCAAAAAGCTATAGCTAATATGAAACGAGGAAGGTCAGCTGGTCCAGATGGATTGACTCCAGAGGTCTTTAATCATGGTGGTCCAGTTTTAGCGATTAGGTTGACCAATATTTTAGCTAAAATCTGGGAACTGAATGTAATCCCATTGACTGGTCGAAATCACTGATCGTCTCAATATATATAAAGGATCAAAATGATCATATGATAACCATAGAGGGATTATTTTAACTAATTTAGCATATAAAATACTAGCCTCTATAATTATCGGGCACCTAACTAAGACTCGTGAACTGCAAACACGAGAAAATCAGGCTGGCTTCAGAACTAGTCGTGGTTACATCAACCACATATTCGCCATTCGTCTGATTTTAGAACACAGGAATGCTTATCGGCGTCCGATAATGGCGGTTTTTCTTGACTTAAAAGCAGCATTCGACTCCGTAGACCGCGAGATTCTGTGGCAGTGTCTGTCATTGAAAGGCGTACCTCAGAAGTACATAAACCTTGTAAAGGCTCTTTACTCAAACACTACCAGTTGAGTCAGAGTTTATGGCTAACTGTCATCTTATTTTGCAACCTCAAGTGGTGACCGTCAAGGCTCTCCGCTTTCTCCATTTATGTTTAACTTCATTATAGATCTACTGGTTGAGATAACACCCTCGTCGACTGAATTCTCGGGCATTGGTCTCCTTCCAGGAGGTCTACTTATCGACCTAGAATAGGTAGATGACATAGTCCTGTTTGGTTAAGACGCTGATAAAATGCAGAGTCCTTTGGTAGCACTGAGCAACAATTCCAGGATGTTTGAAATTCGCTTCTCTCCCTCTAAATACAAGTTGTTGCTTCAGGACTGGTTTGCGTCAACATCTGAACTAAGGATAGGGAGTGAAGTAGTCGAACGCGTTGACAACTTCACTTATCTTGGAAGTCTGATCAGACCTAATGGGTTGGTGTCTGACGAAATCTCAGCACAGATTTGAAAAGCTCGTTTGGCTTTTGCCAACTTAAATCACATATGGCGACGGCGAGATATCTGTCTATCAATTAACGGATGAGTATACTGCCGGGCAGTTCGTTCTGTTTCACTTTACAACTACGAAACGTGGCCATTAAGTGTAGACGACACTCGTAAGTTACTATTCTTTGATCACATATGTCTTATAAATGTTGCTCGCATCTGGTGGGATCATCGGGTAAGTAATAGTGAGGTTATACACAGGGTATTGGGGAATGATGGTAAATCAGTTGATATGGTTGTGACTCTCCATCGACTGAGATGGTTGGGCCACGTATTACGCATTCCCAACCATCGATTACCACGACGCGCAATGCTGACTAGTGTTGGATACGGCTGGAAGGAAGTTAGGGGGGGCAAACCATAGTCAGTGACTTCTGGTCTGAGCCATGTTGGTAGATGCGAACTACTTGGTTAGGGTTCACGCGACTATCGTAACCAGTGTTTGGGAACTCTGGGTGATATGGCTCAGAATCGATCACAATGGAGTAGGTGTATACACTCTTTGTCTTCCCTTAAACCGTGAGATTAAAATTACTTCATACCTGTAATATATCCTTATATGCAATATTTCTTTTATATATTACTAACATGAAAGTAACTGCTTCTACGAATTTGGTGTTTATGTTGTTATGCTAATGAGGCATGGCAACGTAGATCGATGCATATATGTTCCTGGTCTGATGTTGTAGCTGACTGATTCAGATTTACGTATCCTGGTTTAGGCTTCCGATCATAAATGTAGCCCAAGAGTCAGTGCATTATCATCTGTCAGTTTAATGAATTCGGTTGACTGGGGATTTGATATAACTAGATCAAATTGGCTTGCTAGTATGTCAATATTTGAGTTCGATTTCAAATTAAGAGATTTATTTAGGAATTCAACGATGTAACTACTCAATAGAATCTACACAATCCTAAATGTAATCTAAATACTAAAGAACAGTTTTTTCATTTCACAATATGCTCATCAGTGATTCACCTTGACGTATATAACTCAAGCTGTTAATATTTTTCGAATATGGGTAATTAACTCAAGAGAACAAACTACCAAAACTTACTGATCATTGAATTATAAGTGTATCGCTCAGCATGTTCTATTTCTCTATTTTTCCGTATCGGAAATCACCTGCTAGTATCTTGACTGGGCATTTTCCAGCGCGATCTTTTGATTAATTACCACCCATATTATCATTGTTGAAATTGACTGTATCTGCAAATAATTTACAATTTATTAGTTTTATTTGTTTTCAATTTAATTAACTTTTTTTTTCAAAAAATTTCGATTTCAGACTTTCTAATCGTTGTTTTTGTGCTCATTCAGTAATCTTTTTGATTTAAATACAATGCAGGTCACTTCATAAACCTTCCAGACTCTGATATTTAATTTTACATTTAACAACATACAGTATGAGGTTTATACAGCTAATAATTGGCTGTGAACAATGTGTTTACTGTTTTTCCTGACTTTATTTATTCAGTATACTCTGAGGATAGGTAGTGTGTCCCGTGATATTTCAAAATGTTTTTAGAATCTGATGTATTTTCACAGCTTGGACAATATGAGTTATTTGAGAGACCATCCTTTCGTATCGCTCGAGATATTAGTGGACGGCAGACCAAGCAAACTATGTTTTATGCATGGGGAAGGTAATTATTGTTTTTTACTCATTCCTCTAGATCATGGTATTTGGTTCTTCATCGTGAAACATCGTTTCATAATTCTAACTTGTCAGTCAGATTTATCAGTACAAATAGTACCTACTCTTTTTATCCGAAAACAAAATATGCAGAATTACATACTGGCTATGTATCAGGTTCAAACCAATCATTTGTGTTAGCTCATTTGGAACCATACACTTCACTACTCAGCGCTCATATTCATGTGGAATCAGATATTTTTGTTATTGAGGTAAATTATAGTATATTAGTAATTATTCTTAGCCATTGTCTGATTACACAAATTATATTGGAAATAATTCTATGTTAATGTATCGCCTAAGAGATATTCAATTTAAAAAGATACTGAAGTAAGTGTTTGATTTCCTTTCTCTGACTTGTTGTTAACTTCATTTTAGTAATTCGATGAATTATAAATCAGCCACTTTATTGGCCCTAGAAACTGATACATTTGGTTAGTTAGTGGTAGTTTAATTACACTTAAATCTGATACAAGAATCTTTTTTAAAATATACATGCCACTTCATATATAAGCTAAATAATAGGCTATTTTTTAATTGACGAGTTATCTTACTGTGTAGAATTTTTTCATTAGGATCATGTTAGTGTATATTTTTAAATTATTATATGACACGATATTATGGGCTAGAACTAGGCCTAACACTCAGGATTTAATTAATTGGAGAATGAGCCACACAAAAATTGACTTTGTCCAATCGTTTATGTCATTTAATCATGTTATTTTCGTATGGATATTTTGTATATAAGCTCACGTTTTTTACTATATAAAAAACCTATTCTTCTGAATGATGGGCTTGTCTTTTACCCTGACTGATTCGAGGTCTTACGTCGATAGTTTGATCTCGTGAACAGAATTAAGATAAACCCTTTTAAATGAAAGAACATATCGCAGTTGTATTTCCAACTAAATTAAATCTTATTTTGTTAACCACTGTTCGCATTCATATTTTCGTTAACTGTAAGGCTCTTTCCTCCTCTTATCTTCACAACTTTAAACCGATGCATGTTTATGCCCTGTCGCAAGCTGTTTTTCTTTCAGTAGGTGTCACTTGTTCACGCAGTTAATTATATCATCACTGTAACTTTGTACCACTTCTCTTCGTTAAATTGTACCCAAAGGCGTTTACACACAAACCCTATTTATCAGAGTTATGAGCAGCTATTATTGATTAATAGTCGATGTAATATGGCGGTCATACTTGTCATAGATACTCATTCGGTACATATTAGCTGACATTACTTGTTTGATGTTCACATTTTCTGTGAAGGTGAATCCATTGAGGACAAGTAACTGCATAACTGTCTGTAAATTTGTGGAATAAAGGTACGTTTTTAATTAAGTTACATAAATGTTCTTGTCCATTTCAAACATTTCTGTTGCACTAGACATTAGCTTATATCAGTCTTTATGCCAGATATGTTACACCTGACAGATATAATATGTATCCCAGGTCTTAGTTCCTAGAAAACTACATTTTATCAGTGTTGTTGCCAAACGCTATACGTCTTTCTATTAGTGTTATGAAGAGTTGTTCATATGCAGTAGATTGAGAATGAATTTTGCGATCATTGATTCTCAGTATCTGTTTATTTGCAATTTTCCGGTGAACCGATTTTCAATTTGTCTAACTCATTATTTTTTTGTAGTTTATTAATTGAGCGACCAGTTTATTGTTCACCAAGTTCTGTTTCAATTTCCATTCTCTTTCTTTTTTTACAGATGTCTATATTAGACGAAAACGTTTCAACCTCATACAATTACAGCGCAAACTTTGTCGTCTTACACTCGTCGCTGATTACGATTTTTTCACTAATTTGGGAAATAGAAATGGACCTAAAACTATCAGTCATGTTGTTAGTTTTTTATTATTTTTACCATGTTAATTTAATAATTTACATTCTTTTACTAAAGATTAAAGTATTTGACCGGTTAAATTATCTGTTTCTTACTTCAAAATTTTTGAATGACAAGCATGATGAAATGATCGGCTATGGCTTTTTATTACATGAGGTAAGTGTGTGCCAACTTTGATTACTACTATTACTATTATTATTATCACTATTGTTATTGCGATGTAATATTATCATTCCCCTATTTGACCTTAGTTGGTACTCTTTTCTCTCAACACTATAGATCGTAATCCATGAGTCATGGACAGCTGATCACGGTCACTATAATTCACCAACTGATTTAGGTGGGAAAATTTGGACAGCTACATCCCTGTTGCGTGTAAGTTTTTGATAAATATTTATTTCGAAATATATTTCGTTGACATCATAGAGGTTCCTTTTATTTAATATTTATTGTGATAGAAGAGTTTTACCACATGAGTAGACCACACGTTCATTTACGTATTTTCATATCAAAAATGAGATTGAACTCGACAAAATAGTCAGATAAAAGTACATTTCTATAAGATTTAGTTCTCACGAAATAAATTTATCGTAAGTTTGGTTTTCAAACGGCCAGAGTTGTCTTCTAGTGACTGATTTCTAGTTTTCATTTTATTGTTCCTTTTTCTAATTTGGTTGTCTGATGTTAAACCTATTATTATTTCACAACTAAAACTCCACAACAATGAGCCGCATCATTTTATGATTTAGGATATATACTACTTAAGTTTCACAAAGTAGTATATGTTTGCACGTCTGACAAGTTCAAAGGCTAGAATATGCAAGTAGGTTTTCCGTTTGTGCAACATACATCTCAGAGTTAGTTTCGTCCTCAAGATTGTTCAAATATATTCTCCCATTTCGCTTCCAACGACCTATAGATTAACCAATATTTATAACAATACTTGTTATTTCCATTTCCTTACCTTTTTAAGAAACTTAGATTTCACCATATTGCAAACTCTGATCAGTCTATCACAAAATGTTGGACTTGGTAAAATATTCTATTATTTTGAGTCATTACCTTTCCTTAGGAGAGCTCTAAAACAACCTAAATAGTAATATCGTTTGCTCCCATATCAATAGTAGATGAATGTATATCCATTTAATTGCTAATGATTGAGTATTATATAACAAAGATCTTATTATTTTAATTTTGTGATTGTAACTCGAACTTTTGTAGCGATGTTTTTATGCTTAAGACCGAGAATTTAAGACCTCATGGATGCTCACCATGTTTCGATGTGTTTGCCATAGGACTTCTTTAGTCGTGATCTTGCTTTACCATTCGCACAACTGTTGTGCTGATGCTTAATCTCATCAATCAGTTTACCCTTCTTTTAAATTATTTCTAGTGGCTTGATGGTTTTAGTATTTGCAGATTACTTTTAGAAGATGTTGTAGAATATCTGTAGTGTTAAATAACCTTTCAGTATACCCAGATTTATACTTTAATCTTATCGGTATTTAACGAAATACTTTATTTGCTTTACTCAAATTTCCCGTAGGCATTTAGTCGATTCGATGCGAAACAGTCTTGTTTGGCTCATTTACTTAGCTACAAAAGAATAGATGAAGGCATTTTAGGGATGTCTTGGTTGGCCTCCCAGGATCCAAAGAAGTTAGGCGGTATTTGTTCCCCACCTCGTAAGTCTTTAGTTTTTTATTTCTATTAATTAACACATTCTTAACACGAAAATCGGTCACCTAAATCTCAACAGAATATCTGTTTAGGTCTTTTGAGTTTTAATGATAAAATCTGCAACTCATATTCTTATCTGTTTTCAAGTGTCAATCATAAACAAAGTAGGACTTAGCACATTTGTTCATCGTTTCAAGTTGCCATACCGCACCAGCTGAGAGATTAAATTATCAGTACGAATATCAGAGTAGTAGAAGTAGTAACATAATCAGTGATAATAGAAAACATTGGAGATAATTAATATGAATCAGGAAGAAAAATAGATGCGTAAGATAGATAATAAACGGTTATTTTGAAACTCAAGGTCTAAGAGAAGACGAAAAGTAAATATATTTGCTCTAAAAGTTCAAGCATAACTTGTTGACAATATGATGATATTTTATTGTTTGCACTCTACAATCAATTGGTGTAAAGAATATCCATCACAATCTATTGCAAATAATCTCCCTCTATTTAATTTGTCATAGATGCTTTCTTCTAAATGACACTTTCCTCACCTAACTTTTCAGGGGTTCTCGTATCGACTTAAAATATGCAGGTGATATAGTCTCATTCATTAAATAAAATGATACTGACCAACTTAAGCAACAAAGAAAACATGCTTGGGGTGCGTTTCTTTCCCTTTAAATGAAAATTTTTGCTTCAAGATTAGTCTGCGTAGATGCCTGTGGTAATGAGAGGGAGTGAAGTAGTTGAGTGCGTCTATCACTTCACTTATCTTGGGAGTTTGATCAACCCTGGCGGGTTGGTGCCTAATAAAATGTCGGCACCGATGCGGAAGAGTTGTCTGGTTCTTGCCAACTTGCGTTAGATGTGACGTAGGCAAGATATTGATCTACCAGCTAAAGGACGATTTTGATGCACAGTAGTTTAGTTTACTCCGTTCTGTTTTACGATTACGAAATGTGGCCTTTAAAATTTGAGGATATTATTTGGTTACTAGTGTTTGACTATAAATATCTTCGAAGCATTTCTCTTATATGTTGGGACCATCGGATTATCAATTCTGAGGTTAGATTTAGGGTGTTTCGGAGGAATGGCAAATCGATTGATGAAGTTGTGAATCTTTATCAACTGTAATTGAAACATCTCTGTAACCGAATTCTGACTACGCACTGCCGTAAACTCCTAATGAATTGAGATTAACAATGAGAACAATGGTCAATCAACCAACCTTTTATCTAATAAAATAATATACTTGTATACTAAATATTAGCACAAAAATAAATGACAAAGCAATTAAAAGTTATCAGCTTTTTAGATCACTTTGTTTACAACAAATTAAGATCTAACTGTCAGGTCATTATATTATGGTCAATCATACCTAATTGGTGAGGCATTATAGATTTTACCGTCGAAAACGTGTTTTAAATGTTTTCACAATCAATCTCAATAGATAATTATACATTAAGTTTAGAAGAAAGGTATAATGCTGATGTAGTAAGTAAAAGGTAGTATCGGAATACATGAATTATAGTACGAAATACTGAGAGAGTACCATCTGTAGGTTGGTTTAGTAATAATATTATAATTCTAACTCGCTTATAAAGCAGATTATAATTCATTTAGTTTTTTGTGTGGCTTACTAAATAGTATTTGGCTCTCTAAATTAAAGTAAAATGTGACTCTAACTTGTTGGTTAAGATTTGAGTACTTTAACAACTAATGCGCCACTCTACATCATCAGGAATTTTGTTTTGTAGGGTTATTAATCATTTGCCAGCATACCGTAAAGACAACTAAACTATATAAAGAATTTTATTGTACCATATTCTCTCATATATATATATATATATATATATATATATTCGCTAAATCATTTTCAATTATAAATAAAATGAAAGTATCATAATGGACGAAGACTCAGACCAGTTTATTGTTCTATGCATAATCATACAGTGACTTTGCAAAGTATCATAATCATGCAATAGGCACATCATTTGCGTATCTTTATTTAATTTTTCTTTACATAATCCATCATTCTTCCAATTCAGTCGTTATTCCGATCGCTCTCCGTCTTCGTTCCTCTTTCAAACTTCTTCTAGTATCGATCCCACTTCGAGTTGCTGCTAAATACTACCTGTAGCTGTCCGCATAAATAGCGCACACCGCACTATTATTGAAAAGGCTACATCTCATTGTACTATAGTGTTAATGACACTTCTGTTTAATGAGCCAAGTTATTTGATTTTTAGTCACAGTCAACTGTTTTTCATGTTGCCAATTACTGTCACTAGTCGTCACAATAAAGTACATAGAATTACACGTGGTTACTAAATTATACATATTTCTACCATTTAAAAAATGTATATATTTCTTTTTTTGCCAAATTAGTTCGACGAAATAATAAAAAGGATCTCTATTTAAATACAGGATGGACTACTTATGTAGATTATAATGGTCAACAACTAGTTAACGCTTTGGCTGAATTAATCACGGCTCATGAATTAGGACATAGTTGGGGCGCAGATCATGATCCTGACACAGATGAATGCAATCCTGCAGCTATAAGTTCTGGAAAATATTTAATGTATACCTATTCAGTTTCAGGTTACGCTGAAAATAATGGAGTTAGTTGCATTAGTTTTTAATTTATTCATGTATCATCTCATTATATTCAATCAGTAGGTAGTAATCATAATTTAAAACTGTTATTTCCCGAAATCTCTTATATGAAAGATATTTTCCTTCGATAATTGTGTGATATAAAGGAAATCTCGACTGTTGGTACTAAAAATAACTTAAGAACATGTACTATATTAAGAAAGTAACCTATTAATTAGAGTTTTTATCCTCTTAACCATTAAAGTTATTTACCTAAACTTTGGTGGCTAAAATAGTATTTGCATACTTACCATTAACACGACACTGACATGCTCCGTTGGTATGAATAATTCTTTTTCAATTATGGCGGAATGAACGTTTGTGAGACTACAATAATTCAACATATGATCTACAGTTGTTTAAATTATATGCAATCTTACATCACTCTTAAATCCATGAGATCTGCATATTTCCAATATTTTTGAAATGTGATAATTTCTTTTATGACTAATCATCAGACTTCATTACTGAAGTGAAATCACACAATTGTCTAAAGTAACTTTTAGCGCTCAAATGAATTCAGGTCTGGTCACAGTAATTAATTCCTGTCACTGACCTTCCGTGGATTTATATTGTCATATCATATGGTGCCCATTATTGGAATTAGAAGTTTGCGTTTGAAATTATTAGTATGAAATCTTACATAGTCATATTGATTGGTCTTTTCCAACGTATTAAATCTGCCTCTTTCAGATGTGAAATTTTAGGATATAAAATGCTAAAAAAGTTTTTTCTAAAACAAGTTATTACACTGAAGATTAACGATGAAATAGATTTTTCATGATAGAGTACCATTTCTCAATATCAATCGAGAAAAAGTCACGTGTTATTCTCTTTGTTAATAGTTTTCCTTGTTAGATATCATGGTTCAATTCTTTCCAGGCGTGAATATGTAATATCTAATTTACCAATTGTGTTTTTTTCCACCTAATACAGAATTGATTTCTAATTGTTTTATATTGTTTGTAATAATGAGCACAAGTAATTAATCTAATCTGAATGTCAATAGTAATCATATACTCGTATTTCCAAGTGGATGTGTCTTTATATGAGATTCTAGGCACCGCGGAGGAGTGTTGTTTACAAAATTGAAAGGAAGAGAAGCGAATGTCTGGCGCTCAAACCGGGTTGATGGATAAGGAAGACCCATCTAGAAGAGTTCGAAAGCCCTGAATCCAAACTAATGGAGTACATGGATTACAGGATCCTGAGGTAAAAATGGTATACGAACCTAACCTTGACCATTGGCTATCATGGGACTACATCTCCCAATGTTGCTCTACTGCCTTGTAGATTAGACCTTTATGTCAAACGCTTGTGGAGTGACACTTTGAGGAAACCACTTGCTTTGTTTTGGGCGCCCGGGTAATGTCTCATCCCACACGAAAATTAAATGATAACTAACGTGTGCGACATATATATTTGGTGTTTCTCTGTAATAATGTTTATGTGTTTAAATAAATAAATAATCAATTAATGATGGAAGAGACTAGTAATGCACTTGTCAAATGTTTCCTCAAGGTATTTCAGACTTACTTGATGACGGTTTATGAATATCACTATCAATCTCATACTTATTTCTTTAGAAATTCTCACCATGTAGTTTACGGACAATTGGCGCTTGTTTGGTTACTCGTGCTCCATTATGTTTCGAAGATTCATCTGCGGCTTTTTCAAATCTTTGTGGTAACAGTCGTGTTGATGAGGGTGAAGAATGTGATGCTGGTCGAAATCCACATGATCCTTGTTGTAGTTCTGAGTGTTATTTTAGAACAGGTGCTCACTGTTCACCTTGGAATCATGGTTGTTGTACTTCTGGTTAGTTTTTGTTTCGAAAGCCTATTTGTTACGTTGAATTCAGATTAATTGTTATTGTTCACAATGATTCTACTTGTAATATCCCCGACCGAAGCTGCTACCTTGACGCGGTGGTCGGGCTTGCCTATCGTGATGACCCAACAGAGCTATATTGGCTGGAACATATGTTCCTGTAGGTTCTACCATGCCAGGCAGGTCGATTGGTGAACGGTAAGACTAAAAGCAGCAACTCAAGGTCTGAGGGCGAAGTCGTACTGCTGACTGTAGAGAGGTGTGACAGCAGTAAGGTGTTTCCCTCAGACAACCAGCATGACAGCGATGCTGCCTTCCCGCAAGGAGGGGTGGGGTTAGAAAAGGTCGACCATAAAAATGTCACACCTCACCTTACCTCACGGATTTCCGTCTCCGGCGGTAAGGCTCTTTGAAAAACGGAGCTAACACATTAAAAACCTGTCACAAAAAGGCCGTGCGCGACCGGCCTCAAGCAGTTGTCCCTTGGGCTCTGCGGTCACGCTCCCAGGTCGTCAAGACCAACACTAATCCAATTTCCTTTTCAGGTTCCTCAAGAAATACCCTTCCACGGTGTGGGCAGCCGGGAAGTGACATCAGCCCTCATACCCGTAACAGCACACGAGACCAAGTTGGTCACATTCAAATCCTTCCTACATCTCCTAATACCTCTCTTATCTCCATGACTAACCCTCCTCATGTCTCTGTATCACCTCGCACCGCTAGGGCAAACGATTCGAGTACGTGGAACTTTATTCCTGGTCTCCTGAAACCACGCTCTAAACTACACATAGGAGCTTTTAACGTCCGAACACTGTGCCAAATAGAACAGCAGGCTTCCTTAGCTAGGACTTTAGAATCTCTCGCCATCGATGTGTGCTGCGTCTCCGAAACGCGCATACAGGATCCGAGTAGCGTCATTCACCTGACCTCACGATGTCAAAATAAAGAACCGACTCGATTCACACTTCGTGTATCTGGAAGCCCTGATTCTGCTTCCCGTGGACTCGCCGGCGTAGGTATAGCATTGAGTCCCAGAGCAGAACTAGCTCTCTTAGAGTGGATCCCAGTAGACAGCCGTTTGTGCGCTGTCCGACTGAACGGAACAGTAAGAATCCGGAAAGATAGGGACACCCGTCGTTGCCTCTTCGTCGTTTCTGCCTATTCTCCCACTGACTGCAGCTCAGGTGATGTAAAAGATGAGTTTTACAGAAAGCTTTCCGACCTTCTCCGAAAACCTAGGCGCTATGATGTAGTAGTAGTGGCCGGTGACTTTAATGCTCAAGTAGGTAAACTAAGCGATAGGGAAAGACACCTAGGTGGATCTTATGGTGTCGTGGCTCAAAGAACAGATAATGGCGACCGTCTGTTGCAGCTATGCTCAGATAATCGCCTGTTCCTTGCAAATACTAACTTTAAGCATAAGGAAAAACATCTTTCAACATGGCGACCCCCTAATTCGTCCCAACGTTGGACCCAAATAGATCACATCGCTATCAGCCACCGATGGAGGGGCTCGATAGAAGACTGTCGCTCATTCTGGAGCACATGCCTAGATTCAGATCATGCTCTAGTGCGAGCGCGTATTTGCTTGCGTCTTACTGGACGTAGGAAAGACGCTGCAAGGAAACCTCTTAGGGGCCTACTTAATGATAGTCAAGCTAAGAGTATATTTCAGGAACAACTAGGAAAACAGTTAAACAGCCATGTATGTGATGCCTACCACGAGGCAGCATGGAATGATATCCGAAAAGCTGTGGAAACAGCAGTGATATCTGCTAGTAAGGTAAACCAGAAGGTTAGGGAACGACACTGGATTTCAGCAGCATCTATCGCACTGATAGATGCTCGGAAACTCATTCCACCTGGCTCTGAACATAGTGAAGAGCGGAGTCAGCTTAAGCGCAAGCTGACAAAAAGTCTACGCAATGATCGCGAACAGTGGTGGGTAGCGAAAGCGAGAGAGATGGAGAAGGCAGCGGCAATAGGTAATAGCAGACAATTGTTCAGACTCGTTAAGGAAACCGGAATTAGGAACCCGACCGTTAGCGAAACAATCTCAGAGAAAGATGGACATATTATTCATTCCCAATCCAGGAGATTGGATCGATGGGCAGAACACTTCAGGGATCAGTTCAACTAGCCTTCAGCCACACTTCGGTTTCCCACGATCCCCAGTCAACCTGAATGGCAAGTTAATGCAGGTCCTCCGTCTCTTAACGAAGTTGAAAAAGCCATAGGAAATCTGAAACGAGGGAGAGCAGCAGGCCCTGACAGGTTTACTCCTGAAATTTTTAAGGATGGTGGTCCAGTATTAGCAATGAGATTAACCGAGGTCTTAGGTAGAATTTGGGAACTGGACGTAATCCCATCTGACTGGTCTTAATCACTGATTGTGCCAGTCTATAAGAAAGGACAAAAGTCCTCTTGTGACAATCATAGAGGAATCATTTTGACTAATATAGTGTCTAAAATATTAGCTTCAATAATACTTCGACGCCTAACCAAAGCTCGTGAAGAACAGACTAGAGAAAATCAGGCTGATTTTCGACCTGGACGTGGTTGTATTGACCAAATATTCACACTACGTCAGGTTCTAGAACACAGACACACGTTTAGACGCCCCACAAAGGTAGTATTTCTCGACCTTAAGGCGGCATTCGACTCTGTTGATCGTAAGGTTCTATGGCAGTGTTTGTCACTGAAAGGAGTACCAAAGAAGTACATTAACCTTACTCAGGCTCTCTACTCGAACACAACTGGTAGAGTGAGAGCTTATGGCGAACTGTCATCAGAATTGATTACATCAAGTGGTGTTCGTCAGGGCTATCCACTCTCTCCATTCTTGTTCAACTTTGTGGTCGACGTACTTTTAGAGATAACACTCTCCTCATCTAAATTTCCAGGCGTTGAACTTCTACCGGGAGGTTCACTTGTTGACTTAGAATATGCTGATGACATAGTTTTATTTGGTGAAGACGCTGACAAAATGCAGAGTCTTCTGACCACTCTAAGCAACAATGCAAGCATGTTCGGGATGCGATTCTCTCCCTCGAAATGCAAAATGTTGCTTCAGGATTGGGTTACATCGACACCCGAACTAGTGATAGGGAGTGAAGTAGTTGAGTGTGTCGACCGCTTCACTTATCTTGGAAGTCTCATCAGCCCTTGTGGTCTGGTGTGTGACGAAATCTCAGCACGGATACAGAAGGCTCGACTAGCTTTTGCCAACTTGCGTCATTTATGGCGTAGGCGAGATATCCGTCTACCAACCAAAGGACGTGTTTACTGCGCAGCAGTTCGTTCCGTCCTACTTTATGGCAGTGAAACATGGCCGGTAAGAGTAGAGGATATTCGTAGGTTACTTGTATTCGACTATAGATGTCTTCGACACATTGCTCGTATATCATGGGACCATCGAGTAAGTAACACAGTTGTTAGGAAACGGGTACTAGGTAAGGATGACAAATCAATTGATGAAGTAGTGAAACTTCATCAGTTGAGATGGCTGGGACACGTGTTACGTATGCCCAACGACCGACTGCCTCGACGTGCGATGTTCAGTGGTATGGGAGTAGATTGGAAGAAAGCTAGGGGCGGCCAGACCAAAACATGGCACAAGTCCATGAAGTCACTGACAAGTGGTCTGAGTCATGTTGATAGGTATAGACTACCTGGTTGGGGACCGCGAGATGATAGCAACCGATGGTTAGAGACCCTGAATGACATGGCTCAAAATCGTTTGCAATGGCGCAGGTGCATCCACTCTTTGTGTTTTCCCAAATTCTAATCTTCTGAATTCTTCATGTCCCTTTTTTCCTCTTTCCAAATTTATTTCACTGAATTATACTCTTTAAATAACATCTCCAAACCCTAATCTTCCCGATCACTGCTTACACTCTTGCTACCTCTACCACTACGGGATTTGGATCGACAACTGCATCTCTGTGTTAAGGTGGTGTGGCAACTCGAACTGATGTACGTACGTACGAAGTTCTACGTTGTTACTGACTGACTGACTGACTTGTAATATCATTCCTGTAACAGATAAACTGAAGTTCATTAATCGCATGTAAATTTAAAGTATTAGATCGTCTTAGGGTAATTAATAAGTGATAAGTATTGCGTTTATCGATACTCATTGACAGTTATAAAGTCTAATATCTCATAAGAGATTCAAATCTATCTGTTTATTAGCTTAGTTGTTAAGTCACACTTGACGTTCAGCCATTGGGTTGTGGTATTCGTATAGTTCTTTCATCTACTTAAACTTGAAAAACACGGTGTTTTTTCTTTTCTTGAGTATTTGTAAACTGCTCCTCGTAAATCGATCCGTTATTTAATATTTCTACTACCTTTCTTTATACAGATTGTCAGTTAGCACCAAAGAATACCATTTGCGCACAAACTAGCAGTACTAATCCTTGCTTAGGACCTGGTCAGTGTAATGGTTTATCATCTATTTGTCCAGGTCCAACACTTTTATCCGGTGGTCAGTGTGATGAACATGGGCGATGTTTTCAGGGTAAATGTCGTCCGTTTTGTTCTAGTCTTGGACTGGAAACTTGCATCTGTGATTCAGGTAGGTTGGATGGACTTATCATTAAGAAATCGCTTGCATCATTGATAAAAAATAAGAACTGTTCAGCAGTGAAGCTATACAGTCGTGTCTAAAGTTGCCTGACGTTTATAATTGTCTATTAAGAAGTAGTGTAAAATTGTGTTATAAAGCATTCGGATTTATTGAATATTAAAAGTAGTTTAGGTAGTGACCTAAAGATAAGTAAAATATAGTAAGATAAAGTTGATAGATGAGATATCATTGTGAAATTCAATCAACAAGTTGCAGAAGCCTCTATAGTGCATAGGTTTCTAATTTATAACCAGTTCGTCTGACCATGTGGATGAATGTAGATTCTGGTAAGAGAACGTGATTAGAACTTTACGAGATTTTCCAGAGTTAATCTATTGATCGATCTGGATAATCGTTTTGAGTCGGCCAGAGTAATGATCAGAGATTCGTTTCTTTAGTGTTCACTTTGTGAGGCCAGTGTAACCTGTTTCACAAGAACAAGCATATGGCCCTAGCTTACGTAGTCACTTTGTGCCATAGTTCAGTCTCTTTGCTGATTGTATTTTCATAAAAGTTTCATGACTCTACTAGATATAACGAATTTTTTACTATTATATAGAGTATGGATGTGATAGGATTCGTGTCCAGTAGAAAAATTCATTAGTCCATTACAACGTCCGAAGGTTTTTTTCAGTTATCCTTATTCAAAACTAGACGACTGATTTTTATATACTCTAATTACATCACTATGAAACTCGACAATAACGTACTAATTAGTATGCATAAATAGATATATAAATTTAAACAACGTAATAAATAATGGATTTAGATTGTACTGACTACTTACATTTATAATTAAGTAGAATAAATTTTCAAATATAAAAGTATCACTGTTTCTTTCCATTCTTTCATTGCAAATAGTTGAAGAATCCTGCTTTATTTGCTGTTTATTTCCAACATCAAATTCAACCACAAATCAAAGCACCATATGCCTTCCTGTTATATTATCCCAAAATGAATATCTATTACATTCTAAACAGAATACTGTAAAACATTCAGAATCTTATAAATCCTATTCAATGATTTATCATTCAAGACGATCAACTCTGTATTCTATGCATAAGTTTTTACCATTCTCGTCTAACATACTACGGTTGTATGATAAACACTCACCAAATGATACATATCATTTTATTGTTAATAATAAAACTCAAAAACTAGCTAAAACTGATTTTAACAATATTAATCCATACTATCATAAACAACCTTTAGTACATATTCATTTGCAAGATTATCGGCCATGTCTTAATGGCTATTGTATGGCGGGAAAATGTGTAGAATCGAAAAGTAAGCGGATATTACGATTTTGGACACCAGTTCATTATTCTAAACACAAGAATTTCGGTAGGTATCATTTTTTTTATTAACATGTATATTCAGCGATTTTTTATTGAATTTCGTCTTGTTCTCATCACTGAATATAATTCTTATTATTGAGAAGAGAAATGTTTATCTTTGTTATCTTTAATGAATTAACTCATCGGTATTTGAAAGTCTTTGTGTATTTGACAGTGTTATATATATATATATCATTGAAATTATGAACCGATCAAAGTTGGACAACCATTTAAATCTTTTGAGCACTGTAAACCCGTTTCGTGTGAAACTTCTCACCAGTACCCATCCACGATTTTGTAGGCTGGAAACAAACCCAGGAATTGAAGTTTTGCATACATAAGCTTAACCTTTCTCTCTATACAAATACACAGTTATCAATTATTATACATATATACATAATCATTAAAAGCATTGATGAATCTCCTAACAAACTCTCCACATTATAAAATTGATCTTGTGGTTCAAAGATTATTGGGTTGTGAGATAAAGAATCTTGCTACTATTACCGACTTATTAACAGGTGCATATTAAGGTAGTTGACTTCGAGCCATCCTCTTATTGTGAAAACTAGTGATAATATCCGGAACCTGGTGTATTGGGGTTCGGGTTTGCGACTTAGCGACTGAAAATCGAATACCTGAACCATCGCCCAGCAATCATGTATATACATACTGGGCTGTCAATTATAAAATACTGGGGGTTAATGGTACTACATACTTGTCTATAGCTCATTAGGTACATCAAGTTTCAAATTTGTACCTCACTGATGTATGGTAAATCAATGAGTCATAATTTAATTAAATAAATGGAAAGATACGCGGATGTTATTTTTATTTTCAGTTATCAAATAAATGAATTTCATGTCATAAACATTGAAGTTAATTCTAATTATACATTTTACATTGGTAGAACGTCCGTTGTTTAATCATACTTTCAATCAACAGTCATTATATCTTTATGTTGTTGAACTTTATAATCTACTACACTTTCCAAAGTATGAAATCCATATGTATCACATCATAACTTATTTCTTAAACATTAAATCACCAACTGTTCTGATTATCACTGTTTCCAAAAAAATATAAAAACAGATATTATTTAAAAATTCCATACTCTACTGAATTTGGTTTCCTGTTCCTTTTCTTTAAATAAACTTTTGTTTTAAAAATATATTCATTTCATCGTTGATTGTTTGTTTTAAAAAAAAATAAAACAATAGGCACCATTGCTTGGGACAATCTGGTATTTTTCGCAGTCTTTTTATCACTTATCATATGGATTCCATTGAGTGCATGTGTTGCTTACTTAGTAAGTTTTTGAGATTTGATACGCATCAAATATTTTGTTGTTCAATGTGTTTTACCCCTTCGGTATTCTGAAGTTTATGTTAAAGCATTCATTTCAAAATAAATTTTGTTGTTTTATCATGTTCCATTAGTAATATCTGTAAAAAGACACTAGGATGTAGAATAAGATATAGGATTGATTGAAAGTTAACTCAGTGACTAAAACACATGACAAGTAACAACACTTATTATTATTAATGGCTTCATTCAGTATTATGTGGTTAGTGCAATATAAGATTCTCAACAGAAAATATTTCAACAAGTTTCTCTTACAAAATTAAAGAAACAATTGATATATATATCAAGTAAATAAATTGTTTGAAATTAAGTGAAAACGTTTTATGAAGATGAAAACATGTAAAACTAATTAGCAACATGTTCAAGAATACACATTATTGACTAGGTCAGCTATTACAAAGTGTTTGTTGCATAGTATATTTGCCAGTTACGTTATTGTAGAGCTTTGATACCTTTGCTTGTGTGCATGGATTCTAACGTATTGGCGCCTTGTCCTATTATAAGGTATATAACGAGAAAGATAAAAATGAAGTGGATGGTTAGTGTCTGATAAGATAGCACTTATCAAGAGTGCAAGATTTTAATTGTCCATTCATCACACCATACTAACTCCCTTCAGCACTCTCCGTAACACAGCGAAATCTTTTCTCGAAAGTCCAGGAATGAATAATAGGGAACAGTAAAGAATAGTAGGCAATTTACAGAAATTCATATATCATAAAAGTAAATATCGAGTAATGCCGTAAGCATGCAACCTCTTTATATAGTAAGTCAGACGGAAAATGTCCGATGTTAATAAAACATGAGATGACAAAGAGAGATGATAGAAAAATCTTACACCAAAATAAATGACCTTTGATACCGTTTTTATTACAAATCTTCAATAGTACAGACTTTATGGGATTCCAACGAGGTGTTTCATATCTATTAATGTCTCAGGTTAAAACTAACAGTTTTACATTAGAAGGATTAAGTGTGAGACTATTAACGACAGATCATTTATGTAAGAGAATGTGAAGAGATAGAAAACGGCGTACATATAGTAAGGTCATCCGCATACTTAACAAAAGTGTTTTCTGTGGAAGATGGCAGATCACACAAACTAAGTCCTTGGTTCAAATCTTAATCTAGCTGCTTTGATTTAGATAGTTTCATTAACGGCCCTTAGACTTAAATTATCCGTCAAAACCAAGTAAACAAGGTATTAATGGTATATGAATTCCAGTTGTGTCTCATCCCAATAACACAAAACGACGGTGAGGGAATAAACTAAACCAAACAATTTACTTTCTGCAACCACTTGTAGTCAAGTACCTGTAGTGTTCTTGTGGTTTACAACTTCATCAGCCCAATTGGACAAGGAAAAGTCAGGTCTATCACTGCTCTATCTATTAGAGTTCAGGGGTACCATCTTGCAGTGAACATCCGGAATTCTATTCTATTCTCTATGTATTAATTCTGGTCATTAGTTCTCGGAATGTCTGAAATGCATGTAGAAACATTAGACTTATCACCATGTATTTAAAAATCCAACATTTGTCAATAATTTGACCTAAGCTTCAGCCATCAATCTTTGTCACATTTGACATTTTTGAAATGTTCATCCGTGGTTGATAACTGTGAGATACACAACTAATTCATTTGTCCAAGTTTACAATTCATTTTTTATGTATACTCATAAAAAGCTTATTACATCAATGTCGATTGTGTTTAAAAAGATTTCCAAGTAATGAGGTTATTATGAGAATGTTCATTTGCATTGGAGTTTGTTGTTGTCAGTTTGGGCATTATAGGAAGGCGATATCATGTTGAAACAATATCTTTTTAATGATTAGACTATGTATATATTTATATTTAATGGCAAAATGTTTTTATTTACAGAATAGGCATCATGAACGAAATTGTTAATTACTAATTAAAAAGTTATGAATCGACGAGCCAGATATCCTGTCAATCATATGAGAAACGATATTTACCTTGAAGCAGCATTTTTAATGATTCACATATTTTCCACATATAAATATTTTAAAAGTATACAACATTCTTATAATCTATTGAACGTTTTTTTCTCTCGATCAGTTTCTATCTTGTTTATGATATAATTTGTTATTTTGTCCCCATTCAATTCAACCTTTCATCATACTTTGTATACATAATCTTCCCAATTGTGTTTTCTTATTTTCAAATGTATAAAAACTGTAGTATGTATATGTAAAATCTGTTTTTCTTTACTCTTCTTGTGTGTGTAATTTCTACTGATTTTCTTTTTTTTTTCAGCCTAATTTCTTAGGAGTCAGACTTTTAAGTTCAGTCGCGTGAAAAGTGAGATAAATATCGTTGAGTTGCTTCTTTTTTCTTTTCTCTTTAATATTTCATCCACTTTATGCATTATGTATCAATGTGTTCATTTGTTCAATGTTATAATTTATTTTTTATATCAAAACTTTGAATATTTTTCCTCTAATTTACATTTAATTCTAAGTTGTTTTGTATTATGATTTGTATGAGTTTGAATTAAAGGTAAGAATACAAAGCGATATACTTTTAATATGAAAGCAGATGTAATACGACTAAATAGGTATGTCAGATTGTGAATACATTCGATGAAAGTTTTTAACGATAACAACTTAAATTCAAGTAAGAATTGATGTGATACATTTCAGGAAAGTTTTCATTCCTCAAGAAATGTCATTAAGATAAATAAACATAGCAGAGTATATATATAGTTTTTTATTCTTTCCTAACCTATAAACTAATGTATGGATTACATGTGATTGTCAAGTTGAAGAAGTTATGATAATATTGAGAAGTGAGAAAAACTAAGTTAAGAATTATTATTTTGTTAACAACAGGTTACAATAATACACTGTAATTAATCATTTTTGGCGTATTTATTTATTTATTTGATACATAAATATTGGTACAAAGGGGCACCAGATATATATGCGCCACAAAATAACATTGGGAATGGGAAGAGATAAAGAAGATAAGATGCGTATAAGAAAGAAGAAAAAAAGAACAATAACGACCACAGATTGTTGTATGATAGTGTAATATTAATAGTAATAGTGGTGGGGAACGGAAAGGTACAACCAGAAAGAATTCTTTCAATTAAGGAAGTTACAACAACTTTCTTTGAAGAAAGTAAACGAAGGTTACAACAGGATCGCCAGTGACTTCTATTCTGAACCATATCTGATAACGTCTCTAGCCACTGTGTTGCACCATCTCTCGGACCCCAACCAGGGAGTCGTGAAGGACCAACACAAGCCAGTCCTTTGCAGCTTTCTTTCATACCACGACACCATGTCATGCACTGACCACCTCTCCGCTTTTTCCAACCAGTCCCAGAGTCGGCAAATAATGCACGACGTGGAATTCTCTGGGATGACATTCGTAGAACATGTCCAAGCCACCGAAGTCGGTGTTTCAAGATGGTGACACCAATTGAATTATCATCTCTGTGCCCGAACACACGATGCCGAACCTCTGCATTACTGACATGGTGTTGCCACTGAATGTCAGCAATCCTTCGGATACAGCGATGATCGAACACAGAGAGTCGTCTAACGTCCTCAACTCGGAGAGGCCAGGTTTCACAAGCATAGGGCAAAACTGCTTTCACCGACGCGTTGTAGGCCCGACCTTTTACAGCCAGACTAACATCACGAAGGCGCCAAAGATGGCCCAGATTGGCATAAGTTACTCTGGCTCTCACTATACGGGTATTGATCTCATCACTCACGCCACCACCAGCACTTATGCAGATACACGAACTTCTCGACTATTTCTATCTGCTCACCATCCAGGGTGAGTACAGGATTAGGATCCTGCCAGTCTTGTAGAAGTACTTTGCACTTCGAAGGTGTAAAGCACATACCGTACCTACGGACATTGATTGCCACCTGATTAAGTGCAAATTGTATAGCCATGGAATTATCACACAGTAAGACAATATCATCCGCATACTCAAGATCGAAAAGTTTGCTGCCAGTGGTTCGGATGAGTCGAAAGAGCTTCCGGTAGCTTTCAGATGCAGTTCTTGCTTCCAACTCATTGGCACACTCCGACCACCAGGCTTCTCGGTCGTTACACAAGCTTTGCCCGGCTTCATTACATAACGGCCTTCGTTTGTGGTCAAACTCATGTTCACCAGGAGTAGACCGATGGGTTACAAGGAACCTGAAGAAATTCAGTGTTTCATGGCGTCATGCAGTCGCAACCAATGCTCCTCTATACTTTTCGGTGGAATGGTAGCTAGCTCGGTTCGATACTTACTTGCAACAGAAGTTGCAACCAATTTACTGACACCAATCCGTTTATGACGATGAATCCGTTGGCCACTTAAAAGTTAGGTAAGATTGGCGCAGATCAGGGTATGATCAGAGTGGCAGTCTTGTACACAAGCACGACAGCGGTAGCTGATCACGATGTGATCAATCTGAGTCCAGGCTTGAGATGCAGAGTGAGGACGCCAGGTGGTACATCGGCGATGACTGTGCCGACAGTTGGTGATGGCCAGAAACAGGTGGTCTGCACACAGTTGCATTAGACGGTCTCCGTTATCTGTGCTGCGACCAAGTCCCCATTCGCCACCTAAACGACTCTCTTCTGTACCTAGACGCCCGACCTGAGCATTCAAGTCTCCGGCTAGTACTACAATATCTGTCGAACGCACTTTCTGGAGAAGGACAGATAACTGGTGGTAGAATTCATCCTTGATTGCATCCGGGCTGCAATCTGTCGGCGCATAGGCGGAGATGACGAAAAGACATCGTTTCTCACGCCGAATTCTTCTCACTTTGGTGGAACTTTCTAATCCAACAGCACATAACCGACTGTTAATGGGGATCCAATCGATTAGTGCTGCCTCAGCTCTAGCGCTTAGTGCGACACCAACGCCAGCAAGACCGGACGAAGATGCCACAGGGTCCCCGGATAGATGCACGTGAAACAAGCTTTTCGAAGCGATAGATGAAGAGTGAATTTGTAGTACTTCACTAGAGTCTTGTATACGGGTCTCGGATAGACAACAAACATCAATATTAAGACTTTCCAAAGACATAACCAGTCCTATCTGTTGTCCGACCTGCATAATTGTGCGAACGCTGAAGGCAGCCAGTTTGAATGGTGCACGTGGTTTCAGAAAAATTGCCTCAGTATTCATATTTGGTGGTACCATTCAGTTTTCAACCAATCAGTGACTCGAGGTCGTTTAGTTAAAACAGAATTTCCACTATGTGTGAGCTGTTGTATAAGTTGAAAAGTAAGAATGAAAGAGGGTAGATAAGTGACGTAGTATATAAAACTAAAAATATAAGTGAATGTTATCAAATGGGTATGGGTTGTTTGGATTGTAACAGGAGTGAGAACAGTATATCCAATAATCGTTGTCATTTCGTTTTACTTGTGTGAGGGCTATAATAGTGACGAGGTGCCCAGACCGAGGCAGGTGGTTTTCTTAGAGGGCCACACCCCGGACCTTTGACCTAAAGGTCTGATCCACAAGGCAGTGGAGCAACGTGAGGAGATGGTGGCCGGTGACCAACTATTTGTTCATACGCCATTTTTTCCCCTTAGGATCCTGGAGTCCATATGCACCATTGGTTTGGAATCAGGGTTTCCCACACCCCCTAGGTGGACTCTCTGTGTCCACCGGCCCGGTCAAAATGCAGGACTTTCGATTTTCATTCTCTCAATTTCGAAAACAACAATAGTGCCGCGAGAAGGCAGTGAGTAGGACTTCCCTGGAAGATGTGTTACTTTCTACATTTATTCAAATGATTAACTTTGAACTTTTGTATATACGTCCATTGTATGAATGATCAACTAGTCTGAATGTGGTAGTTAAATGAACTATACTAAATTTGTCCATTGGAATTTTATTGTATTTCGCTGTATAATTGTCCAGTGTTTGGTCGTTTGAACGATCAATAGCCTGAATACACCTTTAAGCATTACGAATATTTTTGTTCTCACTATGTTAGCGATGCATCTGTGATAATAGTCATAGTGCGATTAAGAGGAATTTGTTGATATAAACAGCATGATTACTTTATCAGTCATGTATAATATTGCGAATGATCCTATATACGATGTTTGTGGTAGTCTTTTGTGATGTTTGAGTAGAATTAACGGTCTTAATGTGTACCAGATCATTTTTCGAATTCATCATTCATTAATGTAATACCTTAGTTTTAACAGTAACTAATTATATCTAGTGGAAATGCACTTAGTTAAACTGTTATCTAAGCAAATATATAACGGAAGTCCAATTCCAAGAAATTATGATGAATTATCCAAAAAGAATGAATAACATTACAGTGTGTTTAAAAAATTAATTTAACATTCAGGAGTATTATCAAATTATTTAACAAAATAATAATTTTGAAATATCCAACTCGAACTACTCACCAACTAGCCTCTAGTCGGAGTTTTATTAACAATGTTTTATGAAGAATAGTATTTTTACAAATAAATATGTGAGAGAAGTGAACGAATTAATCAACGTATAGAAATTTACGTGTATAAATTACAGAAGAAAAAACAAAACTGAAGATTTAAATTCTAAAAATTAATAGAGTAATTTTGAGAGTTAGTGGGTATCTAGGAATGTATAGCAAACGTTTTTCTCTAGAGAAATGCTTTGTATAGTATTTTACAATCTCTAGATTGATCAGTGTCCTTTGGTATATATGCATCTTGAATGGATTCCCTGGATATTGCTATTAAGTCAAGCATTTTTAGGTAACGTTTTATAGCAGTTAACAATGGAGTCCAACACTCATCTATCTTTGTGGGACTCACTAGCTGAATGTACCTGTACGACAGTGTTGATGTTCACACTAGGACTCGAACCCAATCCCTTTGGCACCAAATACCCTACAAGTTATTCAGTGGGCTACTGAGTTCAAATAGCCACTGGTTTGTACAATGGGGATGAATTTTGCTGCTAAATTTTCTTTAAAGATGTTTGTGATTTAATAGCAATATCTAGGCAGTCCATTCAGAATGATCATATTTCAGAAATGGTTGATCAACTGTAGTCTATAAAAATGACGATGGGAAGATCCAAACCCTTACAAATTAAATATATATAAGTCCCAAATAGGGTTATACGCGTCTATTGGACTCCATTCTTAGCCTCTATTTTTGCTTAAAAATCTACGAATTAGTGTTTAAGGACTGTCAAAGTTCTTCATTGTGACAGGCATATGATCCGTTTACAAATACCATATGGGTTAGAAGGTAATGTATATGTGAGCACAAATAACTATGAATTGTTGATCCATTGTTTTTTTTCTGCATTATAAAAGAAATATGGTAATCTAGTGAGTACTAACATCGTTTTACGTGTAATCTGTAAAAAATGTCTTAATGTGATTAACTGACTTTAACTATAGTCAACTAATCAAGTGTATTTCTTGACGGAAGTTTCTGATAGTATCTAAAATAAACATTCATTGTTATGTTCAGACATGTGAATACCATGTGTTTTGTTTATTGATAAATTCAATGTTCAATTAAGAACCGATAAATTAATTATCATGTGTTCATTTATGATAAATATTGGTTGAATAAATGTTATTCACCAGATGAATAGTGTGACAAAATATTGAACATGCTTTATTCACATCTAAAGTATACATTATCAAGGATAACTTTACTAAACCGTATTATTATAAAAGAGAATGTAAACTATAGTTTAAGCATTATTGTGTTTGTAATTACAACCAAAATACAACAAATTTTGTTTGACTTCAGAACTCACAATCGACCATTAAACAATTTAGTTTATTATTTAATT